CGGAGAAGGAATTGAATGGACTGCGTTTGGTCGGATGGCATGGCTCGTCCATGCAGGCGTGGTCCATCTCAATGTTACTTTATATCTTCTATTCATATTAAATATATTGTTCTTTCTCTAGCCTAACCTTGTTCTACATCATGTATTGGTAATTGATACGATACAGTGAGTTGGTGTAGTCAATGGTGTGACTTCCACGTAAGATCTTATAGATTAGGCAGTTATATCATGACAAATCTGCAAATTTAGGATTAGGTCTATTATTAGAGCAGTACTAATATCATAGTAGACCATAGTTCTACATTGGTGAGCCCAACAAAAGAAACGCAGCCTATTGTTGCTAATCCTTAGATCCACCTTAACCTTCTCAATAGACTTTTATTTGTGTAAATCCATTATTCTAATAGTCCTCTGATTAATGCTCACAAGCATTATCGTAATGTTTTATTGGTTAGTACTCATAATATACTAACTCAATCGATACCAATAACCGGTTATCTAAATCAATTAGCTTTGATGGTTCATTAACAAGCTTTAATAGCATTTACATGCTTCTGCGGAATAAACTTGTTTAAGCATCTAGCTCTATCTAAAAATAACGTGAATATACATAGACTAACAATGCAATCAAGGACTAGATAGTTATCTGAATCTAATTCTTATTGTTCCTTCACTTAACACATCCTGTTTTTAAACTATGCACTATCCTGTAATATCTTTCCTTCCGACCACTGCCTGCCTAATTTCATATTTCGAGTTCCATTGCCAAACAACAAGGATGACACTTCTCCAAAAACACGGTGAGTTTGTGGTGGACCAAACAATGTATAAACGCAAAAGTATAAACAAAGTTACTAACAATCAATAGTAATATTAATATTTACAAGTTAAATGTTACAAATACAATAACAAATTAGGGACGTTACTTAAATCGGCTAGTCGTTGCGTGTTCTGTTGAGTCTTGGTCTCAAAATTCCACAATTATAAATGCGTAATAATTCCACAGAGGTAAATATGACGCCAATAAGTTTCTTTGACATAGGATATAATGGAAATGACACAGCAGTCTGAAATGAGGATAATATCCAGTTTAGAACGCAATTGACTTGGTAACGAACGACAATAGAACAATGGGTATGTGCGTAGTAGTGTATTTGTGAACAACCGAAAATGTGTCACGCTATGTTAGTAACACAACGGAAAAAGTCTTCAAGGTCATTTACTTAAACAACAGGTACAATCATTTAATGATAAATGTACATTCAGTGAGAAATGGACAAATACAAATAATATTAAAAACTATTTACAAAATAAGCTTGTCAGATATATCTCCACATAGCTCCCCCCAGAGTGTCCGGAGGTAACACTGGTTTTAATAAAAAAATGTAAGAATACGATAAATGTGTATATACGAAAATAATATTTACAGTTATAACCAATAAAAGTTGTAGAGATGGATATGACATTAATAAGATGGAGTGTGTTGTTGTTTGAGAATAGCAATAATGTAGCATAGCATAACGAATACAAAAAAAAGAGGAAATACTGTCATTTAATGTCTTGCTTGGCTAACAAGGATAATAATGTGTAAAACTTTTAATAGCCCACACACACAAAAAAATTGAGCTGTTTATTTTTGTGTATAATGAATAAATAATTAAAAAGAGTTTACCCGTTTATTATTGTTACAATTTTTTTTTTAAAAAAATGTGACAAAACGAATAATTGTGGGAAAAAAAAGTGATTAATTATGAACACTGTGAAAAGAAAAAAAATTTTTTTAGATGAGATTAATAGTGTAGGTCCTTGATAATTGTTTGCTTTGATTGTTTTATTTGTGTGTTTTTTTTATATGGCAAAATGTACATAACGCTTTGGTTTTTTTATAAGTCTCCCAGATCGTGTTAAACAAGAGGGTGTAGTGCTAAGTTTTTTCTCTTCCTCTTGTTTCTTAGCAATTGATGGGAGTGATTGTTTGTTCGCAGCATTGTCTTCTGTGGCTTGAGGGACTTCGTAGAAAGCTGGTTTTATTCGGTCAATGGAAATTGTCTCCTTGTTCCCATTTTTATTGATAATGAAATATTTGTGAGTGCGTTTTATTACTTTATAAGGGCCTTCATACGGTGGAGTCAGTGGCTTTTTTACCGCGTCTACTCGAACAAAAACAAATTTGCACGTTTCTAAATGTTTATCGAGATGGACTCGGTTGTTGTATTCTCGAGGTGGTATTGCTCTAATGTTCTGCATCATTTGTAATAGGCGGCTTGCGAAGTGAGTAGAATCCCCGTGCGTTGTAGGTTCATAGTTGACTATTTGGCCGGGTAACGTTAGAGTTGTACCATAGACTAACTCAGCGGCTGTACATCCAATGTCTTCCTTTATGGTTGAACGAATACCGAGGAGTACAAGCGGTAAGGCATCGCTCCACTTTGATGAGTCAGCTTGCGCCATCAGTGAGCTTTTTAATTGGCGATGGAATCTTTCAACCATGCCATTAGCTGCTGGGTGGTAAGCTGTGGTTTTAATATGGTTGACCCCTAGAAGTTTAGTGAACTCCTGGAAAAGGACAGATTGAAATTGAGGACCACGATCTGTTGTGATTATTGATGGTACTCCATAGTTAGTTATCCAGCGGTCAAGGAAGACTGAAGCAACTGTTTCTGCTGATGTGTCTTTAATGGGGCATGCTATGGCCCATCTTGTGAACCTATCTATTGCGGTGAGGATATGTGTGAAAGAGTTTGATGGTGGCAGAGGCCCAACTAAATCTAAATGCACGTGCTGGAAGCGTTTGTCAGGGATAGGGAACTTCCCAATTGGACTGTAAGTGTGTTTTTGCGTCTTACTGCGTTGGCACTGGAGACAGTTACGTGTCCAACGTTTAACATCCGAGTTGATTTTAGGCCACACAAAACGTTCAGTAATGAGCTTTGTTGTTGCTCTGATGCCTGGATGTGAAAGACCATGTAAATGTTGAAATATTTTTCGTCGGCAAGCGTGCGGGACAAACGGACGATTGTTGCCTGTTGAAGTGTCGCATATGATAAATGTATCTGAAAGAGGAATCGGTACAGGTTTGAGATCTAAGCTAGACTTTTCTTTGCAGGCTTTCAATTCTGCATCGTCTGCTTGTAATTTAGCTAAGGTTTCAAGGCTGATGTCATGATTGAGTACCATCGTATTGATATCCCTCCTAGATAGTGCATCTGCAACAATGTTCATGTGACCTTTGATGAACCTGATGTCTGTGGTAAATTGGGAGATATAATCAAGTTGTCTTGCTTCTCGTGGGGAGTGTTTGTCATACGATGTGCTAAAAGAATGGCAAAGAGGTTTGTGATCTGTCATAATGATGAAATCACGACCCTGTAGCAAAAAGTTGAAATGTTTTACTGCTAAATACATAGCTAAGAGTTCGCGTCCAAAAGTACTATAACGTTCTTGTGCTGGCGATAATCTCTTGGAGAAAAAGGCAATGGGGGTAATAGTGTTGTTTACCCGCTGTTGTAATACTGCCCCGACGGCTTTTTGTGAAGCATCCGTGCATAGGATCAACAGTGTTGTGGGGTCAGTATTTAGGTGTTGGAGCATGGTAGCATTAGCAATCATGGATTTAGCTTTTTCAAATGCTATTTTGGCGTCGGAAGGTAACTTGAATATTTGGTTCTTTTCTTTCTTGGTACCTGATTTATCGTTTTTCAGTAAATCTGTCAATGGCTGTAGTACATCGGCACAATTTGGTAGAAACCGTCGATAAAAATTACATGTTCCGAGAAAACGACGTAGTGATTTTACTGAGGTTGGTTCTGGATAGCTGGAGATAGCTTTGACTTTCTCTTCAAGCGGTTTAATTCCTTGGGAATCAATGTGGTGTCCCAGGAATTCCAGAGATGAGGCGCCAAATATACACTTCGAAGGGTTGATTACAACACCATAACTTTTGAAACGTTCAAAAAGTGTGTGTAGGTGCTGAACATGTTCGTCAATGGAAGAACTAGCGATTAAAACGTCGTCGATATAGACAAATACGAAATCCAAACCTCTAGTTACTTCGTCCATAAATCTCTGGAAGGTTTGAGCGGCGTTTTTTAGTCCGAAAGGCATCCTCAAGAACTCAAACAAGCCAAAAGGTGTGATTACGGCTGTTTTCTCGATATCCTCAGGTGCCATCGGTATTTGATGGTATGCTCGGACTAGATCTAACTTTGAAAAAATCTGTTTTCCATGTAGATTTAAAGAAAAATCATGCAGGTGAGGTATCGGATGCCGGTCTGGGATAGTCTGGTTATTCAAACGGCGATAATCTCCACATGGGCGCCAGTCTTGATCTTTCTTGGGAACCATATGCAGTGGCGAGGCCCAAGGGCTGTTAGATTGTCTGATTATCCCAAGTTGCATCATATGTTCGAATTCTCTCTTAGCGAACTGCAACTTGTTTGGAGGGAGTCTTCTCGCCCTGGCGCGGATAGGTGGTCCTGTAGTAGTAATACTGTGTTGGACATGATGTTTGGAGCATTCGTTTTGGTAATCGGCTCTGGTTATACTTTCATACTTCGACAGGATATCGGTGAAAATTTTGTTTTCAGGTCTTAACATACGGACTCCATGGATTTCGTAACTGAAGATAGTTGTGCCACTGACCTGTAAGCTTGTGTTTTTGTCGATTAGTTTCTTTTTTGCCATATCTACAAGTAGGTTGTAAGCACCGAGAAAATCGGCCCCGATAATGGGTCGTTTGATTTCTGCTACGATGAAAACCCATGTGAAACGTCTCCGGAGACCGAGATCTAAAATAAGTGATTGTTCGCCATAAGTCTTAATGACTGTATTATTGGCTGCGACTAGAGACAATTTAGTACTCTGAGTGTGCCGTCGTTGAGAGAGGTGTAATGGGATAATGCTGATTTCGGCTCCCGTATCGACCAAAAAATCTGAGCCCGAAATTCGATCCCTGACATGAAATAGACGGCTCGGGTAGTGGCCAGAAACAGGCGCCGCCATCACTGTCTGGCCGGACCGTTTCCCTGATTCTCTGTGTCAGACGCAGAAAATGTGCACGGTCGTGTACAACGCCGTGCTTTGGTGCCGTATTTTTGGTGGTACCAACAAACATCATATGTTCGCTTCGGTGACCTAGACCGTTGTCTAGAAAAAGATCTTCGTCTGGAGGGGGATCTCGATTGTCTAGCTTGGATGGTTGCTATGGTTGATTGCAGAGACGCTAGCTGGCTCGTTAAATGCGTTAACTGCTTTTGAAAGGAGACTAAACAGCTAATATCTAGTGGTCCAGGTGGTTGCAATGAGTTCACACCGTGACTCTCATAGTAGACTTCCATCATTTTATCCGCCATGTCGGCTAAGTCATCAAGTGCGACGGATTTCCCTGAAACACTGAGAATTTGTCTAACGCTGTGTGGTAATCTTTGAAACCACATTTGCTTTAGGAGGGCTTCGTCTAGCCTGTATGGACCGGCGAGTTGTTTCATGTGGCGGAGAAGTTGAGAGGGTCTTTTATCTCCCAAGTCACAAGACGTTAGCAATTGTTGCAGCCTTTTCTCATCTGAGACCGTGGTGCGTTGAATAACTGCTGCTTTTATCTTATCGTATGGTTCAGATTCTGGCACGTGATCGATTAAATCTCCAACTTCAGCGGCAATCTCAACAGGAAGTGCACCGACTACGTATGCATACTTTGATGCCTGAGATTTTATGCCTCTAGCCATGAATAAAGCTTCAATCTGAGCAAACCAGATTCTTGGATTATTAATACAATACGTTGGTAATCTTAACTCTGAGATAGCGTTGATCGAGTTGAAAGCATTATCCTCTGGTTGTGGAGAGTTTAGAAAGTTGGTCGGTGAATTATCAATATCAATAAGTTTACCCAGAGAGTTCATAATGACAAAAACAAAAAAAAATGGTGTCGTGCCAGGTAATAATAATAAAAAAATATGCACATATATAAGGTAAATGTCTATATAAAAAAAAAACGAGGCTCACCAAATAATTGTGGTGGACCAAACAATATATAAACGCAAAAGTATAAACAAAGTTACTAACAATCAATAGTAATATTAATATTTACAAGTTAAATGTTACAAATACAATAACAAATTAGGGACGTTACTTAAATCGGCTAGTCGTTGCGTGTTCTGTTGAGTCTTGGTCTCAAAATTCCACAATTATAAATGCGTAATAATTCCACAGAGGTAAATATGACGCCAATAAGTTTCTTTGACATAGGATATAATGGAAATGACACAGCAGTCTGAAATGAGGATAATATCCAGTTTAGAACGCAATTGACTCGGTAGCGAGCGAGAATAGAACAATGGGTATATGCGTAGTAGTGTATTTGCGAACCACCGAAAGTATGTCACGCTATGTTAGTAACACAACGGAAAAAGTCTTCAAGGTCATTTACTTAAACAACAGGTACAATCATTTAATGATAAATGTACATTCAGTGAGAAATGGACAAATACAAATAATATTAAAAACTATTTACAAAATAAGCTTGTCAGATATATCTCCACAAATTCACTATTTATCTTCTGCTGATTCGACTGCTGCACAAACTTCCTTAACTCAGAAACTGCCCACACGAAGCTTGACGCAATGTCACTGTAAATCTCCGGAGGTTTCCTTCTTCTTCTTCTTCTTCTTCTTCTTCCAATACAACGTAATAAGGCCATTATAAATGAATCAGTAATCAAACTACACATCATTTCAATATGTACTGCCCATGTTTGCAAACAAGTAAACACATATCCATACCCTTTTTCTAATGATCTTCTTATGTGTCCTTGTTCTTTAGGACAATGTCTAATTATCATTTCCGTCACTAAGTGTCGACTGGGTAAAATTACTGGATGTTTAAAAGTATTTGGGAAATCTGAGTATCTTTGTCGACCTCCAACGCAGAGTAACCCATCAAGCATTATCGGTGATAAGCCTTTCAGATCATTGTGACTAACTAACTTACCATTGTTTTTAAATCCACTAAGTATTTCTCCATACACTTCTTTCTGAACCATCAATAAAATTTTACGCTTGGCGATGTCAAGCTCTTTGACCTTTAAACATCCTAAATGAACGGATCCTTCATGACTCGGGGAACGAAGTACCATCAGGAATTCTATGAACCTTCTAAGCCAGGCTATGGCCCTGACTAATTTCAACCACTCGGAGTAATAAGAGAGAATAGGTGACATGTTGTACTTTATACTATTCAAGTTAACCACAGCAGTTTTTCTAAACTCACTATCGTCAGAGAATATTTGTGCGGTCTTATTGAAGGCAAAGTTCGCACGAAACGGCGATGATGTGGCACCAAATGCATGAGTTGTCATTTGAAACTCAGATGGTTCCTTCGACATATCCCCCTCCTGCCACCACAGAAATCTTGAAGCTCCTCGACCAGACTTAGGGAACTTCACTTGCATCAACATTTCTTCAACATCTGCAGGGATTGCAACTGTCTCCTTGCAAAAACTTAATAATATGCACATTAACTCAGCAGTGGTATCGTGTTCTTGATAAATCATATCATTCATGGAAACCCCTGCAAACTCGGCGGCACAATCAAGGACCACTCTAAGTTCTTCTGGTTTCTTCATGTTTAACACTGCATGATAAGGTAAATACCCTCGAGGGCGATAATTAGGCTGCAAATATATTTCAAGGACCCTCTCCGCATAAGTCTAAGTAAATTTACTCTCAATACTGTTGATATACCTGATGTGCAGACTGGCATCCTTCGACAACATACCCTTCAAACTTTGTAATCTACGGTTTGCTACTTCATAATTATCCACTTTCATATTTGGATTCTTTTTCCACGGTATAGAAACTACAAAATGACCGTTGTCGAAGCGCGTGCCCCCTTCCACAATCTTTATAGCCGCCTTGTCGTCTACTGATAATGATTTATCACTTGAATAAGCATCTGAAAACTCTACATCATAAAGCTCACGTATTTCGTTCTCTAATGTCTGTACCTTACTGGTATGGTTAACAACACTTCTCCTATATTACGGGCATGACGCAGGTCCGAAAACCGTCCACCCCAGCAACGTTTTCACAGCGTACGGGTTCTTCCTTCCACCCAACCGTTGGTCTAACACCCAATGTGCTTCTGGTACGTCGCAACCAATCAACAGTAAAACTTCTTCACAGTCTAGGCTATCTATTGGCACATCACTTAAATGCGGCCACTTAACTAGGTTGTTCATTGCTGACTTTGTTGGCTTATGACCTGGTATACTTGCTACAATCAGAGCTCCTTCAATCGTAACATGTTCAGATCGATCTAAAGAATATACCTCAAAAGACGCACTCGTGACCTTCATTGTTCTATTACCGCCCACAGTCTCAACTACCACTGATGCTTGGTCTTCGCTCAGCCCGAGAGACCTCAAACAGTTTGATTTTATCAGTGTCACATCAGAACCGTTGTCCAAGAGAGCATAACCCACAATCTCGGCTCTACGCGATTTCAACCGTACGGGAATCATGCCTAAACACACTTGACTGATTAGTGATTTAGTATATCCGCAGCAAATCGAGATACCAGGTTTATCACTTTCGCTGTGCAACAAAGAATGATGTTTCTTTTCGCAACCATTAACGTTACAACGCTTTGTCAGCTTACATTCAGTAACTCTATGTCCTTGTCTAAGACAGACGAAACAGATACCCTTGCTTTTAGCGTGAGACCATCGGTCTTGAACTGTAAGCGCTAAGAACTGGGGACATTTATCAATAGCATGGTCGTAGGAACACATACTGCATTTAGTTTTCGTTGTCGAACTATTCCCTTGCTCCGATTGCACGTGACAGTTCGTCTTTACGTTATGTCCTTTTCTTGAACGATTTGCTAACCGTCCAAATCTACTACAAGCCACTCTCGCACGCGATGCGATAAACTGAGTGAGCTCGCCAAAGGTCGGTTCCCTGTTATCTTCAGTCAATTCATCCACCCAGTTCGCCCACCGGGTTTGCATAGGCTGAGGCAAGAGTCTCACTATTCTTTCCAAGGTAACTAAGGAATTTAGATCAGAGACATAATTCATCTGTTCCAAGATCATAGCACAGTTTTCCATTTTAATAGCCAAGTTTGATAGTTGCTCTCCGTCGGTATAATCAAAATTCACGGCATTGAATAAGTCTTCTAGTGTCTCTCGAGCGATTACATGCGCCTGTCCGAATAACCGTTTTAGAATCTCTTTGGCCTTCTTGTAACCAGAAGAGGCTTCCAACATAATACAACCCTCAATGGCTGTTTTCGCTTTACCCTTACAATAATGTATCAAATAAAGCAAGCGTTGATCATCATCCTTGACCTTTGATTCCACATAGGTCTCAAACTCCCTTAAAAACCTCCAATAACCTCTAGGTTGACCGTCGAAATAACTTAACTCAACCTTTGGTAACTCTAGACCTACGAAAGGTGCCATAGGCATCGCGCTTTTCGCTTGCTTTACGTCTAAACTAAGGTTTTCTATTCCATCTGCCATTATATCACAACTAGATTCACTATAATTACAACCGTCCCTATTAGAATATGAACCATGACACATAGAAGCACCATAAGGCACTTGCCTTGATTCAGGGGATCCATCCTTTTGTTCATCTCTTTTAGCTTCCACGAGCCTTGGACTTAAGTTCTTTCGACGATCGTTTGACATCGCAAGCGAACGACCAAATATTCCCAGAGACAATGATTGAAATCAGCGAAACGAAAACCAACGAATTCGACCAAATTATTTGTTTAGAACTGTAAGATCCAAACTACGGTTTGGAGTGAAGGACAGCTGTCTGGATGAGTTAGATACGCGCCCTCGCCCGATTGAAACCAAAACAAAGTAATTGGGTGAGATGACGGTTCTATAATTTATCATAAATTTAAGTGTACATTATTACCTAAACAAATATAACCACTCAGCTATCCAACCAATAATTGTTCAATTGATCAAATCTAAACTACAATAAATAAGAAAGTTGATAAAGGATGCAAGAAAATTACCAATCACCACAAATAACTGTTATTCTATCCTGTCTGGATAGATCACGTACAGATTCGTTTAAAAGGTAATAATTGGTCGCTCTATAACACAGAGTGTTTTCAATTCTGGAAGAGTGCTTCAATTCACAACCAAAATGCACAATTCCAATCAACACAGGTCGAGCAATCAAAAGCAAGGATAAACCAAAATGGCTGCCGCCCAGACTTAGTATAAAGTAAAACAACATAAGTGCAGTTCGGGAAGAAACATGAGGAATTAGTGAAGGTGTAGTAAAAACGAAAACTATAATAAAATACAAATATTAACAATTCAAATGTAGCCAAAAGTTAACAATGTACAACTAAGAGGATCAATAGGAACAAAGTGCAAGTATATACATGGAGGGATTTTCAGAAACACACAAAGCATTCAAAATGGATCTTACACCGGCCCCCAAAATTCCTCCATATCACACAAGCTACCTTGATGCCTATGGTCATGTTTCATTATGTAGCATATGACACTATAGGAACGAGTAGGACTTACAACAGTACGCCTACTCGACCTACCTACATTAATAACAACAAAGACTAATCCGAAGCTTCAAGGAGATCTGTTTCACTTGTTCTCTGGTGTTCAACAATAACACTCGTGGTATAGACCTAGTCACTCTTCCCCAAACTCCACCCATGCTGTTGGATGAGGGCCTCGCTGACAATTCACTATTTATCTTCTGCTGATTCGACTGCTGCACAAACTTCCTTAACTCAGAAACTGCCCACACGAAGCTTGACGCAATGTCACTGTAAATCTCCGGAGGTTTCCTTCTTCTTCTTCTTCTTCCAACCGTCCACCCCAGCAACGTTTTCACAGCGTACGGGTTCTTCCTTCCACCCAACCGTTGGTCTAACACCCAATGTGCTTCTGGTACGTCGCAACCAATCAACAGTAAAACTTCTTCACAGTCTAGGCTATCTATTGGCACATCACTTAAATGCGGCCACTTAACTAGGTTGTTCATTGCTGACTTTGTTGGCTTATGACCTGGTACACTTGCTACAATCAGAGCTCCTTCAATCGTAACATGTTCAGATCGATCTAAAGAATATACCTCAAAAGACGCACTCGTGACCTTCATTGTTCTATTACCGCCCACAGTCTCAACTACCACTGATGCTTGGTCTTCGCTCAGCCCGAGAGACCTCAAACAGTTTGATTTTATCAGTGTCACATCAGAACCGTTGTCCAAGAGAGCATAACCCACAATCTCGGCTCTACGCGATTTCAACCGTACGGGAATCATGCCTAAACACACTTGACTGATTAGTGATTTAGTATATCCGCAGCAAATCGAGATACCAGGTTTATCACTTTCGCTGTGCAACAAAGAATGATGTTTCTTTTCGCAACCATTAACGTTACAACGCTTTGTCAGCTTACATTCAGTAACTCTATGTCCTTGTCTAAGACAGACGAAACAGATACCCTTGCTTTTAGCGTGAGACCATCGGTCTTGAACTGTAAGCGCTAAGAACTGGGGACATTTATCAATAGCATGGTCGTAGGAACACATACTGCATTTAGTTTTCGTTGTCGAACTATTCCCTTGCTCCGATTGCACGTGACAGTTCGTCTTTACGTTATGTCCTTTTCTTGAACGATTTGCTAACCGTCCAAATCTACTACAAGCCACTCTCGCACGCGATGCGATAAACTGAGTGAGCTCGCCAAAGGTCGGTTCCCTGTTATCTTCAGTCAATTCATCCACCCAGTTCGCCCACCGGGTTTGCATAGGCTGAGGCAAGAGTCTCACTATTCTTTCCAAGGTAACTAAGGAATTTAGATCAGAGACATAATTCATCTGTTCCAAGATCATAGCACAGTTTTCCATTTTAATAGCCAAGTTTGATAGTTGCTCTCCGTCGGTATAATCAAAATTCACGGCATTGAATAAGTCTTCTAGTGTCTCTCGAGCGATTACATGCGCCTGTCCGAATAACCGTTTTAGAATCTCTTTGGCCTTCTTGTAACCAGAAGAGGCTTCCAACATAATACAACCCTCAATGGCTGTTTTCGCTTTACCCTTACAATAATGTATCAAATAAAGCAAGCGTTGATCATCATCCTTGACCTTTGATTCCACATAGGTCTCAAACTCCCTAAAAACCTCCAATAACCTCTAGGTTGACCGTCGAAATAACTTAACTCAACCTTTGGTAACTCTAGACCTACGAAAGGTGCCATAGGCATCGCGCTTTTCGCTTGCTTTACGTCTAAACTAAGGTTTTCTATTCCATCTGCCATTATATCACAACTAGATTCACTATAATTACAACCGTCCCTATTAGAATATGAACCATGACACATAGAAGCACCATAAGGCACTTGCCTTGATTCAGGGGATCCATCCTTTTGTTCATCTCTTTTAGCTTCCACGAGCCTTGGACTTAAGTTCTTTCGACGATCGTTTGACATCGCAAGCGAACGACCAAATATTCCCAGAGACAATGATTGAAATCAGCGAAACGAAAACCAACGAATTCGACCAAATTATTTGTTTAGAACTGTAAGATCCAAACTACGGTTTGGAGTGAAGGACAGCTGTCTGGATGAGTTAGATACGCGCCCTCGCCCGATTGAAACCAAAACAAAGTAATTGGGTGAGATGACGGTTCTATAATTTATCATAAATTTAAGTGTACATTATTACCTAAACAAATATAACCACTCAGCTATCCAACCAATAATTGTTCAATTGATCAAATCTAAACTACAATAAATAAGAAAGTTGATAAAGGATGCAAGAAAATTACCAATCACCACAAATAACTGTTATTCTATCCTGTCTGGATAGATCACGTACAGATTCGTTTAAAAGGTAATAATTGGTCGCTCTATAACACAGAGTGTTTTCAATTCTGGAAGAGTGCTTCAATTCACAACCAAAATGCACAATTCCAATCAACACAGGTCGAGCAATCAAAAGCAAGGATAAACCAAAATGGCTGCCGCCCAGACTTAGTATAAGATGTGGTGTTTGAATTAACTAATGATTCTTTTGTACTTGTTGAATGCTCGATTTCGAATTCTAAATACAGTACATTCGTTGTGCCTGTGTCTTCTTAATTCAATTGCATTAATCCTGGGATTCCTAATTCATACTATAATTAGAATACTATAGTTCATTATTTTGAAATTGTCATATACGTCAACAACCTGCTTGTCAACCTGGCCCGCACATACGTTACACTATATCTTCATGTCTTCTAAATTTAGGAATCATCTGAATCGCCTTCAACATTTATCAATAAACCCATCAGTCATTGTTGCTAATCGTATTTGGGTTTATGGATTGGTTTATCATATTAGCAGCCTAAAATGCGAACATAGTTTAGATAATTAGATTGAAAATTAAGGTATTATCAACTGCACTAGTCAAATAACTAAATCCTAAAGTAGCTGTTGGCTAAACAAACGTTTAAAATCAAAACTCCGTAGCCTACTAGAATTAACACTTTAGTGTTAATCTTTCTGAATTAAAATTTATAATTAAATTAGGCGTCTCGGATTCTTTAACGTTATAAATTTCTGATAATTTTGAATCACCTAAAGCAAAAATACCTATTTCTCCAGTGGCTAATCTTCAATCAACACTATAACTAGTTTAACATAATAGTTTCAGGATATCGTCATAAAGCATTGTCATGACTTGACAATCACGTAATATGATTGATAATATTAATGAAACTATTAACATAACCGGTCATCAAATCGACTTATAATTATCACTAGTGTTGTTTTTCTTTTATCTTCATTCACTACAGATGATTACAGTATGTTGCTCATTCAGTGAATATCTCAAAACCTTGTCAGTCTAATTGATGGTTTAGCGACACAATAATGCATGCAAATAATCAATATAAGCAGTCGAGCAAATCTCCTGCAAACTGAAAACATCAATGTCGAATTTACCCCAACACTGACTAAGGTTCAAGCCATTATCATAGACATGAGTTGGGAGTGTACTCCCCTTGGTTACAACTTGTGTTCTTCCTGATAATCACATGAGCATCTCTCACTGTTAATCATCTTGTAAAAGCTTATTTAGCCGAATACATCCTGCAGCACCACATCACCTAGTAATATGACACATAGGCTTAACTGATTTTAATAACTTATAACCACTATATCTCAATTAAATCGTATTCTGCCTGCATACATGCAACTAACTTGTATGCACCATCAGCCGGCAAGTATAAATATAAATAAATAGTCTATCGCAGATCAGAACATTGAGTCTAGAGCATGTCTCTTACGAATACACTCATGTTTAACGATTTGTTCCTAGCTATCTGTCCAAAATTCATATAATCATCACTCACGTATTTAAATTTTGTTTTGATGAACATTCATGTGTATTAGTAGTATTACTAAATTCTATCACGGTCAAGTAAAAATAAGGTTGAGAAAATCTCCCCGTAACTAAATAAACCGTATCAAACTAACTGGAACACTAGTTGGAATTCTTTTCCATGGTAATACTTTTGTTCTTCCAGTTAGCCTACTAATACAGATGCAATTGGAAACCAACTCATATGAACAACTTACCGGCATAATCGTTATCTGATTTCATAATTTAAACCAAAACTAATACCAATATTAACATTTCTACAATATTCATTACTTTAATATTTCTAAACACAAAATACTTACTACCTATACGTCAAGTTATTAACCAACGGCTATTAACACGCATTGTTTTATTATTATTACTGTAATCTCATTTTTTATAGCTCAAATAATCTTCACCCAAATTGTCATTTTAAGTGTGTTAAGCATGAAGGCAGATTTTTAAAAAAATTATTACATGTATTTCCCGACCAGATGCTGCCGTCTTCTTTTTGATTTATCTTTCAGCTTATCATTACCCGGGGGATTCTTCCTAGTCTTGGTAACCTTCGGCGCACGACGATCCCATCCAATTCGGTATCGAACCAACATCACGTTGATTCTGGTGGGAGAGTAGTGTAGTGGCATTGAACAATAACCACACAATCCACAAAGCTGAACACGAGACTACTCAGAAAATAGATATTCAATATTTAACGCGGAGAAATACCTAAAAATGGAGAAGGCGCGGAGAAGGAATTGAATGGACTGCGTTTGGTCGGATGGCATGGCTCGTCCATGCAGGCGTGGTCCATCTCAATGTTACTTTATATCTTCTATTCATATTA